GGTAGGAGGCGGGCGCGGCGGGAAGAAGGGAAAGACAGAGGCAGGGGCTTGGAAAGAACCGGCCTGACTGAGGAGCACTTGGAGAGGGCACACGCGTTTCCAGCGGGTCCCCCGGCTGTGTGTCCTCCTCCCGGCGAAGTAACGTCTCCCAGACTAAAACAAACAAACAAACAAACAAACACCACGCTTCCCCGTTTCCGAAAGCCTCGGAACCACTCGTCTGGGAGACAGATACCGAGAAAGGCTTTTAAAGAAGCTGCAGGGAGATTTTAGAAAGAAAGCCCAAGAAAACAGGAGATTATTTATAGCATTTTAGCAAGAGGAAATTGTGTTGGAAAGGCAGGGCTGCTTAAACTAATTTTGGGCGCTGATGTAAGAGCTCAGAAACACGTTTTCCACAGCATTAAGTGTGGTTGTACGGGTCGGCAGTTTAAAGCAGCCCTGGCCCTTTCGGGGTCTCGTACGGAGGGGCTCTCCAGGCTGCAAGCCGTGTCAGACCACCCCGCTCCCTGCCCTGGCAGCGGGACACAGCCGTCACAGCAGCAAGCAGAAACATAGCGGAGTTCTCAAGCCCCTAACTGACAGACCCCAGACAGCGGACCCTTTCGCCAGGGACGGGAGAACTGCTCCCCGCGGTCTCGGGAGCCGGGGCCGGTGCTTTCCCTCCTCCCCGCAGCTACGCCGATGCTCCGGAGATTAGCGTAACTCGCCTTCCCCTTGCCCTTCTGCACCGGGTGGTGCAAAAGCGAGGAACACAAAGGATCGCTGCTTCTCAGTACGAACGAAAGGGCAGCCCCTCCAGCGACCTTGCCCTGCCCCAGCCCTGCGGCCCCACGCACACGAGGATGTGCCCGTGGGAAAGGGGAGGGATGCCGCTGGGAGAGGGAAGCCAACGCTGCCCCCTCGCAGGGCTCTCTGCCCCTGCCCTGAGAGGGCCCGCGCAGAGAAACCCCCGCTCCTCAAGCCGGGGGTTGGGATTTCGATTCAGCCTCTGCACCAAAACCTCGCTGAGCAAAACGCGTCTGCTCCGGCACCCGGTTTCCGGGGCTCTTCTCAGCCGGAACGGTGTTAGAGACCGAATTTCCCGTTCTCCGTGGCAAGAGGCGTCAATCTGGAGTCGGTCTGGGCTTAATCTGGATTCAGATCCGACTCTGACCCCCGGCCGCCAGAGATGAATGCGTCCTTTTGCCTGCTCTTTATTCCAGACCCTTACTCGCAGGGGTAGCTCCCATTAAATCCAGGAAACTGCTCCCTGGAATAAAGTGGAAGGAGCAAGGGGTCGCAGGGCCAGGCCCCGGGGGGGGGGGAAGAGAAATAAGGGGAGCCGGCTGGGAGGCGGGAGTGCTGTCCAGATGTGCTGCTCGCTGGGGCTGAGCCCAGCCAGTTTCAAACTCTGCTCCACAGCAAGGAAAACTTTACCGAAGGTCCTTTGGCCAGACCTAGCCCGGGTATTCTTTTATTATTATTATTATTTTAAGTTAGTAATTGAAAACAATGTTGAAACTAGTCAGCGGGTGCGGGCTGAAGGCTGTCTGATAACGTGAGCGAGTGATTTACTGGACTTTAATGCAACGTCGATTATGTTTTAAAACGGACCGGAAGATTTCGAGGCTGGCGCTCTCGTAAGAAGCGAGTTTAAAGCGAACACAAGTGGCCGCTTGGAAACTAGCGAGGTGATGTTCCCGGGCTGCGCGGGGTCAGTTGTTGTGACTGAGGAAAAAAAAAACCAAACGCTTGCAATTTATTTTTATGGTCTTCACAAACGGTATTGTTGCGTATTATTAACTAATTCATAATTATACCCCTATTATGCCGTCGATTCTTTCCCCCACCCCTTTCCCCCCGTTTTCTCAGGCTTTGAGATTTGAACCACCGCAAAATATTTACAGTCTCGAGTGTTCTTAAATGGGCTTTGTTTGTGTTTTACAGAATAAAAATCTCTATTAGTGTTTAAACAAACACCATGCCAGTCTCTTAAGCCTTCCAGATGTTTGCAATAA